ACCACCAGGGAGCTCGTCACCAGGTAGCTCACCACCAGGGAGCTCGTCACCAGGTAGCTCACCGTCAGGGAGCTCGTCACCAGGTAGCTCTCCACCAGGGAGCTCGTCACCAGGTAGCTCACCACCAGGGAGCTCGTCACCAGGTAGCTCTCCACCAGGGAGCTCGTCACTAAGTAGCTCACCACCAGGGAGCTCCACCATCATCTCCTGGGAGCAGGCCAAATGACGAGGCACTTAGCCAAAAAAAATTGATACATCACAAAAAATTGGTACGTGACCAGAAACGGTTACATCAATTGGCGCCGTCTGTGGGAATACGCTACAAAAAGCTGAGTTCTCATCCTCCAAAAGCTAAGTTCTCATCCTACCAAAGCTAAGTTCTCATCCTACAAAAGCTAAGTCCTCTTCTCCCAGAAAGCTAAGTCCTCACTTTTTAGAAATTGAAGCTCTCGCTTTATAGTTTACATTTTTTATGAACTCAAAGCACTATGCAAGGAGCTAGTAGACTAAGCAGCTCTACCAACTTTACTTTCAATTCAGATAAAACCTCATCAGTCTTCTCCGGAAGGTCCCCTCTACAAAGATGTGCTCTTCATGGCTTCCGTGGGAGTTGGTGGCCAACAGACTACATAAGCACCCTTGCTGGTCGAGCCTTCCAAGGCTCCCATGTGAGCTGGTGACCTAAGGTTAGTAGTGCTACCCCTGAAGGTCGAGCTCCTAGTAGCTTCTTGTAGGAGTGGGTGATCGACATTATGAGGCTGATGCAGCGCAATCACAGGTAGCTTGGCACCTAGTCAGCTCGACACCTAGTCAGCTCGGCACCTCACAGGTAGCTCGACACCTGGTCAGCTCGGCACCTCACAGGTAGCTTGGCACTCGGTCAGCCTGACACCTCACAGGTAGCTCGACGCCTTGTCAGCTCAGCACCTCACAGGTAGCTCGGCACCTGGTCAGTTCGGCACCTCACAGGCAAAGCCTACGGGCCACATTACTGCTTAAGACCCAATCGCCTCTTCGGCACGGGCAAAGTCAAAAAAGAGTGGACTACGAGTCACTCCCAAAAGCCTACGGGCCACATTACTACTTAAGACCCAGTYGCCTCTTCGRCAYGGGCAAAGTCAAAGAAGAGTGGACTACGAGTCGCTCCCAAAGCCTACGGGCCACATTACTGCTTAAGACCCAGTCGCCTCTTCGGCATGGGCAAAATCAAGAAGAGTGGACTACGAGTCACTCCCAAAGCCTTCGGGCCACACTATTGCTAAATACCCAGTTGCTTCCTCAGCATGAGCAAAATCAACAAAAGTGAACTATAAGTTGCCCCCAGAGCCTAAGGGCTATACTACTGAACTGGCGGAGGCCTCCTCACCTTACAGGCAGCTCCCAAAGCCTAAGGAATTGGATCAGCAGTTACTAGCTCGTCGACTTACGGGCCAAAAGAAGAAATCTACTCCCTTCGCTGAGTTACTCTCAACTGGGGAGTGGGGGGCAAATGATGAGGGCGGATTTGGCCATCCAGTGAAATTGTGACACCTGGCACCTCATGCAAACCAAGTGTAGCCTCTTGACAACTGGGCAGCTCGGCAGAGCTCGCCACAAGCAGCTCGACATAGCTCGGGGAGCTCGGTATAGTTAGGGGCAGCTCGACACTTATAGGTAGCTCGGCATAGGCAGCTCACCACAGGCAGCTGGCCACTCCGCAGGCAGCCTGGCGTCTTACGAAGAGCTCGCCACTTAGGGGCAGCTCGGCACCTACAGGTAGCTCGACACTTAGTGGCAGCTCGGCGTATCGTAGGAAGATCTCCTGCCTGACAACCGTACCTGACAGATCCAGAGACCTGCGCCCACGTCTCTCGCTAGGCGGTGCCGTGCCTGCCAATCCTGAGAGCTGTCCCTTGACTAGCAGAGTCGTACTCTGCAGCAGCCGCCTGCACCCGCCACCTCAGCTTTGGCAGTAACGGCTGTAGCAGAGAGACAGAGGCGGTTACGCCTGATTTGATAGAGGTTGTTACGCCTGATTTGACAGGACACCACTATATAAGGACTCCGACCCCCAAAGACAAGGGGAGAGAATGAAAAAATGGAGGTAATCCCTGCTCTCTAGCTCTCTCATTTCTCTCCAAGCTCCCTACAATCAGAATGCTAACTTAGGCATCGGAGAGTCCCTGCCGGGAAAATACCCCTGGGTCCTCGGGTTCAGTTCTCGCAGGTTCCTCAGCTCCCGTCGCCTACAAAGGAGAGGAGATCACCTCATGTAGAGGGCAGTCGGGTTGCACTACACCAGGGAGCTCCACCATGCCCTGAGTTACAGGCCGCCTAGGGGCAGGTCAAATGACGAGTCCACCCAAGTAGCTCACCGCCAGGGAGCTGGTCACCAAGTAGCTCATCACTAGGGAGCTCGTCACTAGGTAGCTCACTGCCAGGGAGCTCGTCACCAGGTAGCTCTCCACCAAGGAGCTCCACCATCCTCTCTTGGGAGCAGATAAAATGATGAGGCACTTAGCCAAAAAAAAAAAAAAAATTGATACATCACAAAAAATTGGTACGTGACCAGAAACGATTACATCAATTTTGTTGGTGGGGAAGGGTCTCATCGACAGTCTTTCTCCGGCAGTTGCTGGCCTTAAAAGCTTATCGGGTTTTATCTACATTTCAACTCTTTATCCAGAGAGATACCCAGAGAAATCTCCAATCTCACTGAGCTCTCTTATCTCTATCTCAATGTCAACAATTCCTCTGGGAACATTCCTTCGGAAATCGGAAACATGGCTACTCTTCAAGGTTAGTAGTCAAAAGACACAAAACTCGTTTCTGTTTATTGATATATATTTTTTCTGTCTATCCTTCTCCGATGTTATCTTATCTGTGGTTTACTTCTTCAGCAACTTGAATAGTTTCTTGGGCTATATGTGGAAGTGAGTGAAATGGTAGGACAAGAAAAAAAAAACTGAAAGGACAAAATTTTCCTGTTCTTTTTCACTGTTTTTTTTGTTAGTAGGCTCAGCTGATTTTGTTCTCCACATCTTGAGTAAATGGGTTATCTCCTATTCCTAGGTGACTTGTTAGCTCTGAATGTAACAGAAAATAACTTCAATATTGCTTTCAGTTTTTTGGATCATATTTCTTCTTCCCCATTTTCTGTCTTCCGTTTGGAATGGGTAGACTCTGCAGCATAAAATGTAAAACCGCATGAAATGAAAAAGAAAAACTATTCATAGAGTACTGCTTTTATTCTTAAATTAATGTTTCAAGGTCGCATGTCCAGATTTTCTTTCTTTTGTAGTCTTTGAGATAGTTAATGGAAGGGGATTGTTTCGATGTAATTTTTCATTTCATGATTTTCCCATAAAACAAATGTAGGTAAAATAATTTCCCACGTTTTTTCCTATATCACCAAACGATAGAAAGTGAAATTTTCACACTTTCTTATCCCATCCTATCTCATCCCATCCCATGTTTTCCCATCCCACCTAAATCTTCCCACAAAGATTTAGGTGGGATGGGAAAATATGGGATGGGACTTGGGCTTTGTTTGGTTTGTGGGAAGATTTAGGTGGGATGGAAAAATATGGGATGGGATGGGAAAGTGTAAAAATTTACACTTCCATTGTTTAGTTTTAGATATGAGAAAATAAATGGGAAAACACTGTGACGAAGAAGAGATGAAAGAGGGAGGAAGCAGATCTGGGTTCGAACGGGGAAGGTAGATCTGGGTTCGAAAGGGGAGGTAGCAGCAGAAGAAGAAGCCACCGTCGTTTCTTTACTTTTGGGCTCGAACGGGGAAGGTAGCAGATTTGGGTTTGAAAGGGGAGGTAGAAGAAGAAGAAGAAGGAGACGCCGTCGCTGCTGTTCTGTTTCTGCATTCGAACGGAGGTAGCAGATCTGGGTCTAGGAGAAGCCGCTGCCGCTGCTCGAATGGAGGTAGCAGATCTGGGTTCGAAAGCTGCCGCTGCTGCTTTGCTTTTAGGTTTGAACGGATGTAGCAGATCTGGGTTCGAAAGCTGCCGCTGCTGCTCTGCTCTACTCTTGTAATAGTGCTTTCTTAAGGCTCCGTTTGGTTTGTGGGAAGATTTAGAAGGGATGGGAAAATATGGGATGGGATGGGAAAGTGTAAAAGTTTACACTTCCATGGTTTGGTTTTAGATATGAGAAAATAAATGGGAAAACATTGCAACAAAGAAGAGAGGAGAGAGGGAGGAGGCAGATCTGGGTTCAAATGGGGAAGGTAGTAGATTTGGGTTCGAAAGGGGAGGTAGTAGAAGAAGAAGAAGCCACCGCTGTTGCTCTGCTTCTGGGCTCGAACGGGGAAAGTAGCAGATCTGGGTTTGAAAAGGGAGGTAGAAGAAGAAGAAGAATGAGAAGCCACCGCTGTTGCTCTGTTACTGTGTTCGAGCGAAGGTAGTAGATCTGGGTTCGAAAGGGGAGGTAGAAGAAAGATATGGGCTCCAAAAGGGGAGGTAAAAGAAGAAAGATATGGGCTCAAAAAGGGGAGGTAGCAAATCTGGGTTCAGGAGAAGCCACCACCACTGCTCGAATGGAGGTAGCAGATTTGGGTTTGAAAGCCACCGCTGCTGCTCCTCTTCTAGGTTCAATCGAATGTAGCAGATCTGGGTTCAAAAGCCACCACTGCTGCTCTGCTTTGCTTCTGTAACAATGCTTTTTTAATTTTTTCCACCGGGGTCACACGGTTTTGATTCGACCCCAAATCCACAATTTTGAAATATGAGATCCCACATTTTTCTCGTCCCCGTTCCATAAACAAAACGGAGCCTAAAAGAATGAACTCGTGGCAGCGAATAAAAAATGGCCAGTTTCTCTACCCGCGCCCTACGGCAGCAGCACATAGAAGATGGCGGGTAAAGTGTGGCAAGAAATCCGAGTCCGGATATGTTGACAAGCATCCAATCGCACATTTGAACATCGGTTGTGTTGTGGTTAGCGATATTCTAGACGCACGGCTGGATGATCGTGGCCAGCAATTTGTTGTGATCAGCAGATCCGAATTCAGGAAATCCGGTTTGGTTTTTCGTTAGCCGATGTCATATCTTCCTCTCTTTCGTCTCTCGCTCGCTCGCAACTTTTTCCCGCTCCAAGAGCAGACGTAATTTGGGTTGCGCATATCGTGCTTCACAGACTCACAGTTCGAATTCTCTCCTAGCAGAGGGACTTGGGGTTTAGGGTTTTAAACTTAATACGACTTTCCACATTTCGTCTCATCTTCTTACCCCGATCACAGACATACCGTCTTTTTTAGGGTTAGGGTTTCGAACTCCAGTCTAAATGGCGGCCCCTGCAGTTCAACAGCCTCGCTCTGCTTCTTCCAAGACTGAGAGCTATGTCGACAACAAGCGCAAAGAGGACATACGTCAGGCCAACATTGTCGCTGCCCGAGCTGTCGCCAACGCTGTCCGTACCAGCCTCGGTCCCAAAGGTATGGACAAGATGATCTCCACTGCCTCCGGTGAAGTTATCATCACCAACGACGGCGCTACTATCCTTAATAAGATGGAAGTACTCCAGCCTGCTGCCAAGATGCTTGTAGAACTCTCCAAATCTCAGGACGTCGTCGCTGGTGACGGAACCACCACTGTTGTTGTCATCGCTGGAGCCCTCTTAAAGCAATGCCTCTCTCTCCTTAATAAGGGCATCCACCCCACTGTTATCTCCGATGCTCTTCACAAAGTCTCTCTAAAAGCTGTTGATGTACTCACGGCCATGGCCGTGCCTGTCGAACTCTCTGATCGGGAATCGCTTATCAAGTCTGCCAGCACTTCTCTTAACAGCAAAGTAGTCTGTCAGTACTCCACTCTTCTCGCTCCTCTTGCCGTTGATGCTGTTCTATCTGTCGTGGACCCCGCCAAACCTGATCTTGTTGATCTTCGTGATGTCAAGATCGTTAAGAAGCTCGGCGGCACTGTCGATGACACTGAGCTTGTTAAGGGTCTGGTGTTCGACAAGAAAGTTAGTCATTCTGCTGGTGGTCCTACGCGTATGGAAAATGCGAAGATTGCTGTTATCCAGTTCCAGATTTCGCCCCCAAAGACTGACATCGAGCAGAGTATCGTTGTTTCGGATTACACCCAGATGGATCGGATTTTGAAAGAGGAGCGTAATTATATTCTCGGTATGATTAAGAAAATTAAGGCTACTGGGTGTAATGTATTGCTGATTCAGAAGAGTATTTTGAGGGATGCTGTGACGGATCTTTCATTGCATTATCTTGCCAAAGCGAAGATTTTGGTTGTCAAGGATGTTGAGCGCGATGAGATTGAGTTCATTACGAAGACTTTGAATTGTCTGCCAATTGCTAATATAGAGCATTTCCGTGAGGAGAAGTTGGGGCGTGCAGATTGTGTCGAGGAGGTTTCTCTTGGAGATGGGAAAATTGTGAAGATTACGGGTATTAAGGATATGGGGAGGACGACCACAGTGCTCGTTCGAGGTTCTAATCAGTTGGTTATTGATGAGGCTGAACGAAGCTTGCATGATGCCTTGTGTGTCGTCAGATGCTTGGTGAACAAGAGGTTCTTGATTGCAGGTGGTGGTGCACCAGAGGTAGAGCTTTCAAGGCAGCTTGGTGCATGGTCGAAGGTATTGCACGGGATGGAGAGTCACTGTGTCCGGTCGTTTGCGGAAGCCCTTGAAGTTATTCCATATACTTTGGCGGAGAATGCAGGTTTGAATCCAATAGCTATTGTCACAGAGCTCCGGAATCGCCATTCTCAGGGAGAGATAAATGCTGGTATCAATGTGAGAAAGGGGCAGATCACAAACATACTGGAGGAGAACGTGGTGCAGCCATTGCTTGTCAGCACTAGTGCCATCACATTGGCGACTGAGTGCGTCCGGATGATTCTGAAGATAGATGACATAATTACTGTGAGATAGACGTGATTATGTGCAAGGTCAGCGAACTACCGGAGCAGTTTTGGTCTTGTTATGATTTTGTGTGCTTACATTTTAAGTGGTTCTTTTCTGTTTCTCTATTGGAAGTGAGTATGCCAAATGGTCTCAGCCTTATCGCGTTTTCCCAGACCTTTCAAGGTTTTTAATCTGTTCTCGGGAACTTAAACAGTCATTTTCCATATTCTGATATGCAGTTGATTTCGTCATTATTGTTTCGCTCATTGGATATCTTTGTGTTATACTAGAATTAGTACCTTAATGGCCTGCTCATTTATGTTAGTTGCAGTCTTTTCTGCTTCTTCAGGTTGCTTTACCTTTCACAGAGAGCAGGGAGGTGGGCATACATTATGAGGAATCAATAATTGCTAGGCATAATATCTTGAAATTTTCTGAGAGTAGTCATCTTCACATTTACTTGTTATATCATTATAGATTGAGTTGAAGGCAATATTTTGTTAGTTGATTGGGTAGTTAGTTGTGGAATCTTGTATTGGATCTTCAGGTTAGTTTGGATGCCTTGTTTTCTCACTCTTTTCTGATGTTTGCATTATTTGCCTCATAATATTTGGTTTTGAGCATTGAAATTAGCCGAGTCCTTGTTTTGAATGACTAATTGTCTCACCCTATCTTGATATGTATTTTTACTTATGGTAGTTGGTTTACAATGTTTAACGAACTGTCATGGGGCTGACATTTGCAGACATGGAAAACACACCACCCTCCTTTTCTCTCATTGGTACTCATTGGTTTAGAGCTGATTTGCCAAGCAAGGTTTTGTTCTTTTTCTCGAGGAGGAAAGTTCAAGGTTCTTGTGTTTGTATACTGATTTAAAAAGGGTTCCTGTGTTTAGATGAGAGTATAGATGCAATTAAGTGGTCACAGTGAGGTGCACAAACATTTTTTTTATCAGCAACACAGAAAAAGATTTCATTAATTAAAACTTAAAAGAAATCAGGATCACAACAAGAAGTTGTGAAAGAACCAGCTTTAGGAACTGTCCCAATACAAAATACATTTGAGCCCAAAACATGTGTGCTCTATGTACCCCTTGCTTGGCTAGGCTATCTCCATAATTAATTAATATGTGTGCCATGTACCTTTCTCTTAGGTGCACAAACATTTATGGACTGAATGTTCAAGTTTTTTTCCCAGACTAAGTGGCAAGGGTGGATGTTGAGAAATCATTATGGGCTTTGACTTGGGGGCTGTTTAATAGCAGAAGTATTTGAACTGAATGACTTATTGCTTTATCTTTTACTGAATAAAATGGTCATATTCTAACATAGTAGGGAACTAGGGATATGGTAATCAGGCAGAAAAAGTAATCATCCAAATATTCCATTCAGCCATGAAGGAGCTCAAACCTATTAATTAATTAATTATTCACTATAGGACAAAGCAATAAATCATTCAACTTATGAAAAAAGCAATAAATCATTCAATTCAGCCATTTCATCCATTATTTAATGGATCCTTTTGCCATCATTTCTCAATGTCAGTCACATGGTTAGGATGTTAGGTATTGTCGTGTTTGATAATCTCTTGTCTTATAGGCTAACCCCATTAGATTTCGATTTTGGAGACTGTTCATGTTCATAAACTACCATTTCTATGGATAGCCCTATTTGATATGTAATTAAAGCATGAGACCTTGTATGTTCTATAAGGAATGTTATTCTTGTTTTTGTGTTTTAACTACAATGTGTAAATATGAAGTTATTGGGTCTATGGTTGTCCTGTGATTGTGGTTAGAAGAAACTAAATGTTTCGTTTTCCTGTCCCAAGTGTCATCTATTTATTCAGTATGCTTTCATAATAGTGTCGGAACTTCTTAGATGCACTCGAACTACATAGACAATCCATACTGCCACTGATGCTGGGTGCTATGTTTGCTCAGTGATCAAATTAGCACCTTTCAACCCTTGGGTTCACAGTTTACTAATCAAATATAATTTTGATGGATGCTCTTTAGCTATCAACAGACCTTCTGGGGTGGGTGGTGGTCCCTAAGAGCAGAGTTGCTGGCTCTCTTAGAAGGCCTAAAGTTGGTATATTCCTCAGCTGTGGTGCATTCTAGATCTAGGTGATAGTGAAATTGATTGGTTCGATCTCTCTGGCTGAGGAAGGCCCTTGGAACCTTGGATTTTTCCTATAAGAAGCTAAACCTTTGGCCACTCACTTGAACTGCTAATTCGTGTGGACTCTGAATTAGGTCAATGTATTGGCTGACTTCCTTGCTAAAACTGGGGCTGGAAGACAGGATCTTGTTGGCAGGCCCCTGGCTGAACAGTAGAGCCTAGGCTAAGGGCCCGTTTTGCACGTCTTTCCATGCAGTCTTTTGGCTGTTTACAAGCCGGGAAGACCGAAAATCGGTCTATTTTCGTTTGGCATGCGGGAGATCTAGCCGCCAAAAGACGCGCGAAGCCCATTTTGGGCTGATTTCGGGAAGCTCCAAATGAAGGTTCCCGCGTCTTTCGCGTTTAAATCTCGCACGGAAAGACCCGAAACAACACACAGAAAGACACACGTCTGCCAAACGGTCTTCGGGCTGCCCAGATCTTATGTCAAAAAGCTCAATGCGTCTTTTGACTGTCAGAGCTACAAGATCTTCTCAAAAAGACTTTTCAAACAGGTCCTAATACTAGCTGACTCTTGCTAGAGCAAGGATGGGAAGACATGATCTTGGTTTAAGGGTTGAGCTGTAATAGTGCCAAGTCTATTTATATGCTTGATGATGTCAGTCATTTGCTATTTTGTGTTGACATGGTTCTGCCTTGTAAAGTTTCTATTTTGTTCTCTGCTATTAAAATCTATTTTATAAAAAAGTTTTTGAATTAGTAATGCTCTTAGTACTTCTAATTGTCATTAGAAAAGGCCATTACCCAATGCTGGTCCCAGTTATCTGGGTTCTTGGGAGGGGTGGACTGGATGCAGACCGAACTTTTCGCATTTTAGAACGAAGTGGCTGCTTTAAGACTTGAATCTACATTGTCACGCTTGTCAGCCCAGCCCAAGATTTTGCCATTGCACCAAGCAATGGTCTCTTTTTATTGTTCTTAATGATAAACATTGAATACTTGAATGGAAAATCTAAAGTGAGCATTTTCACTAATAAGACTGCCACAAAAGTAGCAAATGCATCAGGACCATGGTCTCTTAGATGTCACATAAGAGATGCAAGGGTATTAGTATCTAGGATTTAGTTCAGCTGCTTGTTAAGATGGATTTCAAGATTCCCAGATAAATTGATTGATGTTCTTGCTTGGGGAGGAGTGCCAGAGCTGAGTTAGTGTGGTTCACCAGGTTATAGGTTTCAACCCCGAGAGCAAATTTGTGTTTCATTCTTTCTCTTTGGTATTTGTTGAGTCAGCTATATGCTTTGCCTATCATGACTGTTATTGTCTATTGTGCTCTCTACTGTTGATGCTTGTCAGCTGTAGAGCCTCCATCTTCATGGCATTAATAAAGCCCTCTGATCACTATTACTGATCCCAAAAGTAGCATACCTTCGAAAGAATGTTTTCAAATTAAGAATAATGCTGCAATTGGTTCAGTGATTTGTTCTTTAGTTAGACTGATCACTGGGTGAGTTGTTGTAGTGCAGTACTGGCTTTATTCTTATGTTTACAAATATCTTTACTACTGGGAGCACAGGCTACAGGATTGTATCAATGTTACTGCCTAAGTAGCAAAGGTTCTTGCCAGATTGAAGATGGGGATATTGTGAAGCCCCTGATATGATAGGGGGCGTATTGTATCGAAAATTTGAACCTTGGGTTGGGGGATATTGTGAAGCTCTTTCGTTGGAGGGCTGATCTTACCCCTTGGACATGTTTTTTATGAGGTTTTATTTGTATTTTTTGTGAGATTGTTTTTCTTGCTTGGGCTTTGGATAGATTGAGTTGGGTGGAGGGAGCCTTATGGGATCTTTTTATTTTTTGATTGATTATTGGTGGTATCTTATCACCTTTCTTGTACCCCTGTTTTTCTTTTAATAAAATTTCTTTTTTATTTAGATCATGTTTAGGCTGTTAAGACTTTAATGTGCATTGTGTGTTAGGAGAGTTGCTAATTGTTCTCTTTCGAGTGCAGCATGGCTAGACATAAATAACCAGAAATTGGACTTTTGCAAATTTTACGACCATAATGATTTTCTTTTTTTTTTTAGGTGAATCACAACCGTGGTGAATTTCAAGGAATAAAAGTTAGTGGCACTATCATGGTTCTTTGCTAGCTTATTGCTAAGGATGTATGCAAGAGTGGCAATCTACAAGTATATTGTTGGTGTTACTAACCTTATTTACATGCGAGTCATGAGTGGTTGATTGTTGGCTTGTGAGGAAGAATTAAGGTTAGGAGTTGTTGAAGCATGGTTTTCTGTATGTTGATCAGTTGTAGAAGAAAGGTTTTCAGATATGTTAATGCTTTTTCTTATATGGTTTTACTCACGGAGTTAACCTCACATTTTAAGACATCAAAGCTTTAAAATTTGTACGGTGTCACTTTAAGTGCATTTGGTGAATATATAAGGCTGCGTTTGGAATCAGTTTAAAATATTGAATCAAAAAGCAACCGTTGCTTTTTACATCGATTATCAATTTTAAACTTTAGAGCTGATGAGGTTTTACATCGATTACTGACATAAAACTACATTCCATCCAAACGTATGCAAAACTGAAACAGAGTGTAATTTTATGTCGATAATAATTATACCCTTTTTCCAAACAAATATAAAATTGAATTGTTGTAAATTTTACATTGATTCTTAATTTATATCGCACCCAAATACAGCCTAAGGGGACCCAATTTCTCTCAACTTGTTTGTGAGGTTCCGGAAAACGGTAGGCAATCCTTGATAAAGGCATAAAGCTTTGATTACTAACATTCTAATAAGTGCCATCTATAATATTATTTAGGAAGGAAAACTGGTTTTCTATTATTCTTTTTGGAGGTGATGGTTATTTGGGCATGCCTATTTTTCAGAAAGGGGTACTTTGCCCCAACTGTTTTATGCTCAACCCCTAATCATTTCAAGTTAAAAAAAGTTTGCATTTAACAACAACATAAATATCGTATAATCCTTTATGATACTTCAATTAAGGCAGTCATCAAAAAAGAAATTTGTATCTTTTGCATTTATGTTTTGTGGTGTATGATACAAGATTTTCCTGCTTGTTAGATGATTATACTTGGAAATTTCTTGTAAAGGAAATAACGTGGCTATTGGTATGGCCGTTGTCTGAAAAAACGGCAATGATATCAACCATCCCTTGATTGGTTGGTTGACTGAGTTAAGTATACCCGCTCTCCATTTCCTAGGTGAAATCATTGCTTTTGGCAATGACTTCGATATTAACAGGGTGTTCGGTTTTCTTTAAGTTTATTCAGAGTAAACGTTTTGTATTTATGTAATTGTAAAACCAAGAAATATATTTAATGAGGGCGTTTAGGACACAGTCATCATTAGGCACTACATCAGTAAAATGTTAATAAACACCTACTCGTTTTAGGAAGCTCCAAAATAAAACTTCCTAAAACAGGAGAGACGTCGAAGTTTGCTTTTGTAAATTTTGATACACAAATATAATTAATGAGGCATTTACTGACGGAATGCCTATGTAGCACCATCAATAAACATAAACGGAACCAAATATATACTAAACAGTAACAACACACAATTAATTGGTAATAACATGAATTTGTTTAGTGGGTTGGCCAGTCTTTGGTTAGGATGTAAATTTATCTTCCCATCTAAACAGCAGGATGGCCCAATTGATTGGCAATGAATGTAAAGCCATCTTTTTTCCTTGAACATGTGGCGAAACCTGGATGCCATTGTCTCAACATGGACTGCGATCTGCGAATATTTTGAAGGTGTTATTCCTGCTTGGAGTTGATCATTCCGTTCAACCAAAGTACCGAACTACAGATGGTGTTTGAAAACAATCAACACTCAGCAGATCTTCGATCCTGTTGACAGCTTAAACTGCGGTTAATAGCTGTTTGCTACGTAAGACGTAACCATTCTATCTGGTAATTCTTTAGCCTTAGCTTGGCCACATATATGCGTTGGTGAAAATCAAAGCATTATCTCTGTAGATCAAAATGAAAGCGTCCAAGCCTGAGTCCTCTGGTTTTGTTGTCATCTGGGTCTGCCTAAAGCCTAATACCATGTTCGATATTCAGGCGGTTTTTCCTCGTCATTTTGAGATTTAAAAAAACCAGCGTCGTTCATCCAAAAAGATAAACCTGGTATCATGAAATGGAAAGACGATTCAATGTACGGTATGGTACGGGTTTATATCAGCGCCCCACAGCACATCTCAGTCTTGTATTGAAAATATTTTCCGATGATGGCTCATCGTCTTCCGTATTTATCACCTAAATTTGGAGTTCTTGTATTATAGAACTCTTGCCACGTATTGATGTCAGATTCACGGGCAAGATGCGGTTTATAAGGAGAGGAAGGTGCTACTAATAGACTAGGAGGGGACTGCAGATCCATTTATGAGGGTGATTGCAGTCCAAAATTCTCTAGGACTTGAGGGTTTAGGGCATGGTTTTCAAAACTGGATTGGACCAGATGGTTGAACCAAAAAATCAGGAACTGTCAAGTAATCAATTCTGTTTTACCCCAAAACCATTATTTACCAAAAATCGTTGATTTGATCAGTAAACTGTTAACCTGGGTAAATTTTTTCTTTTTTATTTTTTTCCGAGCCATTCATTCGGTTTGAACATTTAGGCTGTTTGACCCAAAAACCGGACCCTTAACTGATTCATTGTCCAATTCGGTTTTAAAAACCTTGGTTTAGGGTTTGAAATTTAGATTTTATGATTTAAGATTTAAGGTTTAGACTTTGGGATAGGATTTAGGGGCTTAAGGGTATGCACAATTAGAATTTAGATTTTAGGGTTTAAGAGGGTTCAGATCTAAAAATCGGAGGTTGCATATGCTCCAACATGGTAGGAGTCAAGTATTACATATACTCAGTCGTTTGCCCTTTTTCTAAAATGCTAGCAGAGCTTTTAGAATAGGTTCTGGCATTTCAATTACCACTTGCATGGGGCTGTAATTGAATTCGATTCAGAGTGGATTTAGCAAAACCTCAATCAGATTTGATTATTAGAAACTTGTATCCGAATCTGATCAGATTTGAATCCAACTTAATGGACTAAGATCAGATTTGGATTTAATCTTCCACCACTTTAATTTTTAAAATACAAAAGAAATTAAAAGGCTAATTATTTTTTTTTTAATTTTTACATATAATTAATTAATGTAAATATACTACATACTAATTTAATTATATATATATATATTCATATATATTTTAAATGTAATTATATAAAATTTATATTAAGATCAATAAATATTATAATATAATTGAATGCATATTACAAAATCTAAATCAATCTGATTATACAGGATGTTGGATCGAGGCTTGAATTTTCAAATATCATTAGCAGGTCTAACTTGCAAGTGAAGTTATTTCATTTCAAATGGCATCAGAATATAGTCAAAATGGCTCATTCCAATTCCAATTTCAGACCCTTATTCCCGCAAATCAAACAGGCCTTAAGTTCTTTTTTGTTCTTTGGAAAATTGGATGTAATCATGTAATAATATTGATTTGTGTTTTGTTTAACAGAAAAGAAATGAATGGTCAACCGCCATCCTCATCCATCTTCTGGATCAACCAGAAGCCATTATGTTTTCATGGAACTTGAACTTCACATCCAGACTTCTGCTAATCGCTACAAAATCAATAATTCAAATAATTCAATATTATGGAACGCATGGAGGTTCACTGAATAATTCAACTATTCAAGTTAAGAAGCAAGAGTCACTCAAAGATTTTTTTTTTTTAAGCCAGAAGGCACTTTCGTTTCTACTGGAAAAGGATTACATCTCATCCAAAAGTACAGAGTTAATAAAATCAGGCATTATAGACATATCTCATCAAAGAGTCGCTCAAGATAAGAATCGACTCCAATCCAAATATTAATGAATTAAATTTGGATCTGCGCATTACGACTAAGCAACAACAGCATTCATTGGTTTAGGAACGAAAATCATCCATGGAGTGCCTCTTTAAGACGCATAAATAAGAATTATTAATTAATTATTAAAAGTACATGTATACTTACTTCCCTTCTAATACAAACCCATTTCTTGGGCTATATATATTTCAAAAAAAGGGGTTCACATGATTCTCTCACTGGTTATTCAAGCATCGCACTTCTAGCAGAGAAAAGCTACAAGAAAAAGAGAAAAACAAGAAAGCTCCTGAATCCGATAAGTAGACGTTAACTACTAACAAAATAACATTTAGTGAAATTCTTGGCTTTTAGCGCACCTCTAAGAGATATGGTTGAGAGATGCGATTTATGATGACCTCTCTGCATCAATATTTGTAGTCCTTAACGAACATTCCCTTCTTGGCTTCCTCATTCTCACCCTCACCGGTGTACTTGCCAAGTTGGGCAAGGGAATTTGCTTTCGCACGCACCAGAAGGGCCTTCTGAGCAGCTTCTACATTCTCTGGCAGTCCTTTCCATGTCTTCAGCACAGAGTTCTGCAGCGCTCGTGCATATGAGAACGAAACATGCCATGGGTTGGGGCTTTGGTTCATGGCGTTCAGGTTCAGTGTTGCTTCAACTTCAGATTGTCCTCCCGACAAGAACTGGGCACCAAGAAAATCAATGTTCTCTGCTTGTTAGCTTCTTTCTCCAGAGGTTCATAGTATGTGTACAGTAAGATGCTTAAAAACTAACAGAAAATCACAATACGAAAGTATAAAGGTGAAGAGAAATATATCCCTAGAAACTCAATCCAAGATCTGGGGTTGTGAATCTTATCCTTACATGCTGAAGAGAGGACTAAATATTCTACATTGTATCCATATTAACAACATACTGGAACTAGGTTATCTGCTTAACTAGTTGGCAGTGTAGGAATGATATAGAGAATAGTCCACAAAATCCAGTATCTGTTAAATATGTCATACTAGATTTTTTTAACCAGATCTCTCGGGGGCGAACTTTCATGAAAGCAATGCATGGGAAACACATGAAATATATAAGCACGCTGGAGATGGATGTATATACCATGATACCAGGAACCGCAGGGGGGACTCTCCTCCTAAGCATTTTGAGTGTATATTTAGCAATAGTCTCCGGAGAAGCCTTCTCTTTATGTTCAGCTCCTGGAGTTACCATGCTGGGTTTCAACAGGATACCTTCAAATATTACATTGTTTTGTGCTAAGTAGTAGAAGACTTCTGACCATACATGCTCTGCAACTTCTAGTGTCCTCTCAATTGAGTGGTCACCATCAAGGAGAATCTCAGGTTCCACTATAGGAACAAGACCATTGTCCTGTAAAAGGAAATGAATCAGGATAAGTAAATGACCCCCCGGCCTGTGGCTCACAAAAAAAAAGGAACCAATCATTTCCACAAGGCCCATAACAGTGTTTCAGTATAACTATTTTAAATATTGATTACTTCATTAAAGCCTTTTTACTACTACAGTTTGTATCAGACAATTTCCAAGAATTGTAATGGATTTAACTGGAAAAAGTTTCCTTGCAAACTGCCTGAACTCAGTTGAAATTAGAGCAGTCCCCTTGAGAAAAATCAAGTTATACTAGAATCCTCTAACATACACATGCTGATATGATATTATTGAAACTTAAGATGACAGAAAAAAACTAGTGATACCGTAAAACAATATTGGAATACTGTCTTTGAGCGAATATCAAACTAGAACTGCTTTGTGTTGTGATGCACACATGACCTCCAACTTAAAGCCAGAGGCACCTGCAGCTATTGGCAATAAGATTAGGGCAGTCTATGTCTATATGCCTATTAGATAAACCTATAATAGTCAAAACTTGATAGGATAGTTCTTGATCTACTCCCTTGGCTTGTCTGCTCTACCACATGAACTCTTTACCTCTGATAGGAGACAAATTTTAGTCTATTTAACATAATAAGCAATTGTGTCCTGCAAGAATATTCTTTGTTGATGTCCAAAGTACCCTAAGATGTTCTTACACCTTAACTGCTTGGACATCATAGATGTTCTTGTAAGTGGGCTTAAAATTGTACAAAAAGATGCTAAATAAACCCAAATCTAGATACTAATTCATTTCATATGACTTTATGACCTTTTCAAAATGGGTTTAAACAATAAGTCACATGTTTTACATTTGCTTTGGTTCTGGGTTTGATACATAAAGCCATCAAATTGGGGTTGGGGTGCTGGTACCAAAGAAGAGGGATTTGGGTGGAATAAATAATGCTAGAAGAGATGAAAAGTGGCCAAGCTCTCCCTTTATATACAAGCTAATAGATGCATACATTGCACTACAGTTATATTGCAATGCATAGCGAGAATACATGCATCGTTTAAAAAGATTGCATTTAGGTATACATGGAGGAACTCGACTGTTATTTCTAATTCTATTAGATATTGATGTTGATTTCCCAGATTATCCTTTTATCTGTTTCTCCAATTACACAAACTTTATCCAACACAATTGAGAACCACAACTTTCCATTGGGTTTCCAGAATCTTACTTGTACTAAAATATGTAGCAAACTAACAATTATGATTATGGGCTCTAAGAAGCCTTGGTCATTAAACTTATCATGTAGATAGGTATAGAACAATCAACAGATTATGATTTTAAACTTTATCATATAGATAGGTACTGAAAGGTTAACACATACCTGAGAAATAGCAGCATAACGTGCAAGTCCCCATGCAGCTTCTTTAACTGCTAAAGCAGAAGGACCACAAGGAATGCTAACTACTGTTCGCCTGAAATTTTGAAAGCCACACTCATTAGTGAAGAAGAAATTACAAGATAAACTTTTGTAATAAATAGATAAAACTTGCCAGTTGCCACAGAAAATAAAGATATTAACGAGGCTATTTGCCACTGATCTAGAGTCTAATTGGTTTAATACAAAAGACTGACTATCAAGACTCACCATTTTGCAAAACGAGCACCTTGCTTGTAGTATTCAGCAGATCTTGAAGCCAATCCATCTAATCCTTGGCACCAAGATTCATTGTTCGATCCTGGTAGGGGAACCAAACCCTTGGAAGAGAAAGTAAATCAACATGACAAACAAATCAGCATACATTAATATATACAACAACAACAACAATAACAATAACAATGATGATGAACATTTGAAGGGACACACACAACATGCCAATCAAATACCTTATCAACTTTGATGCCAGGCACAATTTTTTCCTCACGCAAGCAGTCTACAAATTTCTTTCCATCTGTTGTTGATTGGTATAGTGTTTCCTCGAAAAGAATGGCACCAGAAATATATTCACCCAAGCCAGGAGTGGTCAGCAAAAGTTGCCTGTAAGCCTGTCGGTTGGATTCTGTGTTGTCCAAACCAATGGATGCTAGCCTCTTTCCACAGGTTGCATTTGATTCATCAATGGCAAGGATACCACGTCCAGGAGATGCAATAGATTTCTGGAATATATGCACTGAAGCAGTTAGGGAGAAGAAAGAGCTTGAAGAAATGTGTAGGGAAGAAAAATAAGCAGTCTTTTAATAGGAGTTTTTGGAACTATAGCTGGCAATCCTGATTGCCTCAAAAACCATGACATAGTTTCTTGGATTGGGTAAGTCAAAAGGTAAAAGTTTGTGTTAATGCAAGAGCTGTATTAATATAAGAAAGATGGATAAATTCCAATTACGTGTAGAAATTGAAAAGGCCCTTTATACAAATAATATACAAGAATATGGCCGATCACAGATGAACTTGTTCCAGTCCTATACCAATTGTGTATAGAAACATTTAAGCAATCATATAGCAGAAGTCAAAGAATGTATCCTATATTCCTATGGTAAGAACTACGAATCTATACGCTAAGAGAACATTGTAGAAAGAAAGCCAACATATGAAGAAAACTGAAAACAAGTAAAAGCAAAATGAAAAAAGGAAACAGAAACTCGATTTATAAAACGGCAGAGGATCAGCTAGGTTTTGAAGTTTGGAAAACCTCAAACGATCATTCAGCTCTCAAGTCGGTCTCCCAAATGAAAGGAAACTGAAAATAGAAAAGGGAAAGGATTAATAAGAAAATATAGGGTTAAATTATGGTTTATTCTTATATAAAATCCCAGAACTTCCAACCGTTCATCTGCTAAATCGAGCTCTCAAACCAAAGAAGAAACAGAAGAAGAAAAACATCAGAAGGACAATAAATAATATGGAGCACTCGATACTGGATTCAATTTTGCGACTATCAAACTCTGGTTAATACCAAAGCATTTCAATAAACATACAACATAAGAGAAAACAACAGAACAAACTAAACTTATCTGGGTCATTCATCAAACCACCTGAAACAAGCTCCAATTCTAGTTTCTCTACATAATTCCAAAGAAGATATTAAAATAAAAAAGAAAACAGAAACCCAATTGAAAAAACAATAAAATAAAATCATCAAGTACTACCGAAACAGGATCAATAAGAAAAGTATAAAACTTTCTAACAACCACCAGCCACACACATATAAAATTACAACCAAACCATAAAAACCAATAGAACTCGACTCCAGTAGCTATTCTTCAACTCAAACTAACGATCTGAGACTCTAAAAGGCTAAACCAACAAGGTTTACTGTTGATCAAAAACAAAAGAACAAAAAAAAAAAGAAATTAGACAACTCACAGCGGTTTGAACAAGTTCCTCGGTGTACGCTCCGGCACGGATGGGCAGAGCGACTCGGCGGGGAGCCGAGCGAAGAGACGATCCAGGGCGTTGGTTGAAGGACTGTTGTCCGATCCACTGCGAAGAGGAGGCATTCAGCTTCACCAAACCTGCAGACACCATGGCTGTTCAGTGCTCACGACGACAAGAACAGACCAGATCGAGATTTCTTCTTCCCTTTCCCTTTCAGAGAGTCTAACGCTTGTTTGTTTTATAACGTGAGACGAAGCAGAGCCAAACGCCTCGTCTCTGTCTTTCTCTTTTGTTTAGTCCGCACTCTGCAGCGAACTAGGAAAGTAATATGATAAAATTACTAAATAGTGCCTCCTGAGATATTTTACTTGACCAAAATATCCCTACAATCAAAGGCTTTTGAGGCGATGACACGTCATCACCTGAAAGTTCGGTACACGTGCAACGTGGCAGCGGCTACCGATCGATGGAAAGCGGATCCAATGCTTAACTGGGCTAGGGGTGGCAATTGGGCGGATTGGGCCCGTAAATGACCCAGTCAGTAAAATTTAAATAGGTTGGGTTTAACCCATAACCACCTTAACCCAACCCATTAATCCTATATATATATATAAATTACAAAAAATATAACAAAAGTTATAAAAAACATAAAAAAATTACAAGAAAATATAATACAAGTTATAAATAAATAAAGAAAATGAAAAAATAACAAAGATTAAAAAAAACATAGAAAATAAAAATAACAAAAACTATACAAATACACCATAAATAAGAGTTTTTATATTCAAACTGAGCTTTGGGCTTTATATAAGGATTAGGCTCGAACTCACGTCTAGACATTTTTTGTTAATAAAGAGGCAAATCTTGATCCAAATTCAACAAAATGCAACCCCATGAACAGGTCTATTCAACATCAATTGATGAAGAGTCTTTCATAAAGGTATAAATCAGGTTGTGTCGAGCCCAACTCATTATTGTAAAATGCAGGCCATGTAGTGGCCCAACCCATACCTCCAGGCCGTGCCAGACTTCAATTTTTAGGAATGCAGGCTAGCATGGCACGTCACAACAAAGTGGTCCATGCTACCAGGGGCCCGTAGCATGGCCTGGCACAACCATATATATAATTATATTATATACATGTATATATGTATATGTAATAATAATTATATAATATATATATATATATATATATATATGATATTAATATGTAAACTTTTATTTTCAATTTTATTACTCTATTTTATTTTGATTGCATTGTAATTTTTTTTAATTTTATTTTATTATTTCATATATAAATAATTGTATACATCAAAATTCATATAAAATAAAATCGTAAGATTTTTTTTTAATTTTTTTGTCTATTTTGTTAATTTATTTAAAATTTTTTACTTTTTTTCAATTGTTTAAAAAAATATGCCTCTTATGGCCTAACCCAAAGCCCGTGCCAGACCCACCTGGGCTAGTGCCATAGGCCATGTCAGGCCTGACCTCTTAAGGATCCCAAAGGAGGCAAGCACAACCCACATAGGCCTATTAAACATTGGCGGCTAGTAAAGTCATGCTGCTGTACCGGCCCGACATGGTCCAATTTACACCTCTACTCTTGTGTAAATCAAAGTGAAATATAATAAAAATATAAAAAGTGGGAGAGTGAAAATTTGTTCATCTTCACATGCTCCAATTGTTGTTTTAATTCTTTTTTGATGTTCGGATGGAATTGATTAGTAAGAGAGGAGTTGGTGCTGAATGAAAAAAAAAAGACTTAATTATAGGCTAGAAAGAAAGAGTATAGTTGTAGAATTAAAATGAGTAGAGAGAGAAATGACATTTTGAGGTGTTGAAGAGAGAGAGAGGCCTATGGGGAATAGTGATTTTTCATAATAATAATAATAATAATAATAATAATAATAATAATAATAATAATGATGATGATGATGATGATGATGATGATGATGATGATGATAGAAAATAATATATATAATAAAAATATTATAGATATACTATTTTTATTTTTATATATAATAACAACTAATTATTATAATTCTTAATTTATATATATATATATATATTTATTTATTTATAAAACATTTTTCTCAAGTCGAGCTCGAGTTTACGAGCTTTTGACTCAAGCTGAGCTCAAACTCAAGGTTCTAGCTCGAACCAAGCTCGAGCCTCGTACTACCTTGGCGAACCGAGCTCGAATAGCTAGCTATTTGGCTTGGCTCGAATCCACCCCTATCTGTAACCCAGCCCAACCCCAACCCATTAAATAACACTTTATTGGATTAACCAACCTGCTAGTGACCCAGGCTAAATGGTTACAATCCAAACCGTTAATTAATGGGTGAGTTTCCGGGTTGGGTCAAAAAATTGTCACCCTTAATTGGATTGGCTCTTCGGACCTTGACTTTTGTTATGGGATCAACTCAGATTGGGTTAAGGCCAAACCTACTACACAACTAGATGTACCTCGAAACCTCAATTCAGCCTAATCCAAGATTTTTTAGGGATTTTTGGATTGCAATCCCCCTCATAAATCTGATTTGCAGCCCCCTCCTAGTCTACTAGTAGCTCCCCTATAAACTGCATCCTGCCCGTGGATTAGGCATCAATCCATGGTCAGGATTCAGTCCACCCCTAGAGTGGTGCTCTAGATTTCTAGGGGTGGACTAAACTGTAAACACCCCCCCCTTTTTATTGAGTTGGTATCGCAATCCAAGATTCACAAGGTTGATTAGGGTGGTGTTTGATATTTGATTTCATGGGCGTTTATAGATGGAGTGTTTATTGCTTTAAATGTTTATTTGGAGATTTTACTTTAAATGCTTATTATTTTTGTTATTTGGCTGTGTGTTTTATGGGCATATTAGATCCCATAAAGTTACTTTCCACCTCAGTTTAAAATACACAAACATTTCATTTCAACAAATGTTGGGGCATTGGGGGAAACTTCAAAATTTTCTGTCCCCCAATGCTTCATGCACGCAACTCTAAGCATTTCTGTATTTCTAGTATTTATATGATGAGCGTTGAAATAAAACAGTGGTTTTATGCACAATAAATGTCAATGCCTATGTGGTGCTGACATAGTGACATTTTTCTAATAAATTCCCACAAAACCAAACATAGCCTTAACACTTTATTAATGTTTCTTTAAAAATAATGAAAACTTTTTGTCTAGATTTTTGTGAGAGGCATTATATTTTGGGGTAATTTGAATTCAGTCTACCTCAGAATTCATAATACAATCCCACAGTTCAGGTCAGTGTCGGGGAGAAGATTCCCAATTTACTAGGTTTGAGATCGGTTTCAGTCAGTGCAAGGCAGCCTTCACAGCCTTGCACCGGGAACATCTCCTCACTTATTTTCTTTATTTCATGGGGAGATATTTCCAATAGAAGGCTATAATGGGTATTCGAACGGGTTTTGCACTGATTTAATCTGGTTTCGTCTATAGGAGGGTGGAGATAGATAAATTTGGGAAATTAATAAATGAATTCGGAGAGAGAGTGGACTATAAAAAGACCTTAAATTTTAGGATTTTGTGAAAAGTTGTCTTACATTGATAGAAGTTAGAACCTTACCACACAAACAAGAATCACCGTTTCAGTTGGACAATCTGATCCTAATTTGACAACAAAGGTTTTCAACCTAAATCCAGATTTCATCTTCACAAAATGGTTTTCACACTATACTTATAACATTTAGAGTAGTGAAATTTGCACTAATATAAATGCATGGGAATGCAAATAAAAAAAATGTAAATTTTGGTTTAATTTTGTTTTAGGTTTATTTTATTTGCACCGTATTTACTTTATTTTATTTCAAGTTTTGCTTTACTTTATTTGTACTGCAATCAAACAAAAAATAAAATTTCAAATAAAATTAAATTATAATTTACACCAAAATTATTTGCACTATCATAATTTTGCATCAATACAAATAAATTCACATTGAAAACAAACACGGCCTTAAGAACATCTCCATATTTGTATATTTTCATTGATGCAAATATGTTCACAATGTAAAGATGTGAATTGTTTGAATTTGGCTTTGGTCAGAGCAAAAGCCCATTGGGACAGCTTTTACTACCTTGTATTAAGAATATTTCTGTACTTATATATTTTATTTCATGGAAAAATATTCCTAATGCAAAATTAGAAAATGCTGTTAAAATGGTGTAGGCGCAGATTTGCCCTGATAAAAGCGGATCTCGAATTGTTTTAAGGACCAAATTCGGATTCCTTCAACCCAACCCAACTAAATTTTTTTGAGATCGGGTTGAGTAGGCGCTGGGCAGCGGTGCAAGTTTGAAAGAATAACACGTGTAGCAGTTGGTCAATTGTTAAATATCCTGAGTTGCCGAGCAACACGTGAGTATTCACAAAAAGACAAAAAGGTTGCCTTTTTTGTCGGGACTCGGGAAAATGCCTCTTGGTCTCTGACGGGGGTGTTTCCGTAAACTTGGAAAAGGTTGGATGGTACCCTTTTTGGGTTGGTTGGCAAAAATAGCAACGGAGGCTTTCGCGCTGAGTAGGTAAAAATTTAGGCGTCTCTCTCTCTCTCTCTCTCATATGGTGAGGATGAATCATTGAATCGTCTCACCTAACAAAGCCGGTCAACTTTCAGTACTACTCACCCCTCTCTCTCTTTTTATGTTTCCAACTCTTCAACTGCTTTAAGAATCGAACCGGGCGCTAACTGGTTGGTCGTGTGCTGAACGGTTCAACAAGGCAGTTTATTAAATGAAATGATCAAAATTCAAAGACAATGTTATCAAAAGCACCCAAAATCCTGGTCAGCCTTGTGATTCACGGTTTGACCAGTGGGTCAATAATGGTTTGAAACCATCGCTATCGAGTTCACCATAAAAAAGCAACTAATGGATTTCAAGTCAAAAGGAACAGAAAAACCCTAATGAATTCCAAGTTCTAACCATCTAACCATTGATGTGGAATAATCCAAATAAATAGAGCTCCTTTTAGGTAATTAAATATAAATAAAATCAATAATTAGAAAGAATTCAGTGGATCTTGGATTGTTGATGACGAGTAGCGGCACGGGTTTTAAATGATTTCTATTAATCTATGACAGAAGAGGGAAATGGACACGTAAGGTCAGCTGTTAGATTTTGACATCTTTAGACATGTGAAATACTTATGCTTGGGCTAGTAATTTAATATAGTTTAATGTTTGTCTTTTATTCACTGGCCGACATTTCGTAACCTCTAGATAAGGATGGACTCTTAGATTGAGCCTAGGTAGGGGTGGCAAATAAGTGGATTGGGTTTGATAAGGGTTGAATATTAATTTTTTGATCT